TGTTCTTTAGACCGATAAACAGAAAAGAAAAAAAATAACAAAATTAACTTGACTCGACTCGACTCGACTCGGAAGTCTCGGTAACTCGACTTGACTCGACTCGAAACCATTTCGAAATGACTCGGACTCGACTAGACTCGAAAAATGGCTTGACTCGCCCATCCCTGCATTAGCGGTTTGAATACACACATTAATTATTAGGATATTAGTTGAAGTATGATCAAATAGCATAGAAAAATACAGTATAATTTTCTCTATCATGACATGAAAAAAAATTTCTTCAAATTTTTCGATAGGAAAATAAGATAATGGCGCCACTACTTTTGATATGCTTAATAAAATATCCATCTGATTTATGTATTATTTCTTATGTTTCGGAACTTAGAAAATAAAGAAGTACTATGGAAAGAAGCAATAAGTTATTTAAACCCATAGAAATACGAAGAGCTCAAAAAAAAACAGCTTTTAACATTATTTTTGTTTTTTGCTGTTTTTTTTCACTTTTTCTGATAGATCTTTCCGCTTTTCCGGCAAAAGGAGGTAGCAATTTTGATCTTTTCATATAATAAGTTACGTCTGAAATTAAAAACAGATATAAAATACTAGTTTTTATTGTTCGAATATGCCATCAATCTTAATTTAATTAATTAAAAATATATCGAGAATTTTATTCTACGTATAAAATCTGTTGATATATAACTTTCACGATATAAAGTAATTAATCACAGAAGATCAATTTCGTTTTTTCATAATGAAAATTTTGTTGCATACGATTTTGGAGAACGTTTTCGAATCAAACATCATGGTTTTGTAAAAAAATATATTCATTTATGTATATATAGCTTTTCATTACGATTAAGAGTTGAATTGTAAGAAGTTTTCAGATGTGACAAAACGATATAACATCGGATGATTAAAAAAATGAGGTAAAACTTTACATGACTAATTTCAATTAATTATACATATACTGAAGCCTGCATGATTATATATTCTCGGCAAGTACGAAACAGTATTCAAGGGCGTTACTTATAGGTGTGCATAGTGTGTGACGTTTTTCGGCCTTCAATTCTGAGTTACACTTTTGATTGTATTTATTTTATTTTGATAACTAAGAACGATAATACGAAGAAAAATTAATTACTAATAAATAATGATAAATAAAAAGGAAATTAAAACGTATTTTATTTCATGAACTAAGACTATTTAATCAAGATTGCTTGAACATTTTTTTATACACTAAAAAATGATCAAGGTTTAATCGAATGTTACGACATCTAGATGCGTTTCTGATGCGATGGTTCGAAACATCCAATCAACGAAAAGGTTGTTTAGAGTATTATTATTGCATTCATTGAAATACATAGTTAATAATTTTAGTTATGGAAAAGAAAGTTAATATTTATTTCTTATTTATTAATCTAAAAGATGCAATAAGTTAAATCACGTTAGATGCATGAGTCTTGAGTTTTTTTTTCTTTATTATTTAACGTACAGCTGTAGTTCTTCGTTGTCCAACTTGAATTTTTTCATTAATAACATTACTTTTCTTATCATTATCATACCAATCAAATGGACGTCGACCAAATTTAAGATCATTTTGAGGTAAATCTCGTATTGAATTAGATCTTGAAGTTGTCTTTGTCTTAGGTAATTGTTTTTTCTTGGTACTGTTTACAAGAATATGTTGTGGTACAATAGTCGAACGTGGTTCACCTGATATATATTGTAATGGTGATGAGCATTGCGGCATAGCTTGCATACATTGAAGAGATCCAGCGTTTATTTGTTGTGGTTGTCCAATATTAGCAATCTGTGGGAGTGACATTGATGGTTGTATCATTGGTTGACCACACGAAATTACTATTGGACTTGAAGCTGTACTTGGAAAAAGATTCGACGGAGTAAGTTGCATAGGTGGTAAAGCAAGAGCTTGTTGTTGCATAGGTAATGCTAATTGTTGTTGCATTGGTAAAGCTAATTGCTGTTGTTGTTGTTGAAATTGCCCTGGTTGTTGAATTTGGATAGGTGGTAAAACGATTTGTTGAGGTTGCGATTGTATATGATTTTGAGCTGGAGCTGCTATAGATGTTTGTGGTTGTTGACATTGAACAGGTAGAAGTATAATTGGCTGTTGTGGTGGCGCTGTTACACATCGTCGTGAATGAGAATGTGATCGATGACGATGACGTGAACATGAACTGATTGTTGTACATGATGATACTGATGAACATGAACTTGAGTCAATAATATGTATAACAGGACGACAACGGCGTGAACGATGACCTCGACGACACATACGCGCAGGACGATGACGCCCATATGAATGAAGTCCTGGATCATAATATGGTGGTGGTGGTCCCATTCTTGGCATTCCACCTCGATGTGGACAGGGCATTGGAGGATAAGATGGTGGAGGCATTGGAGGATAAGATGGTGGAGGATACGGCGGTGGAGGCATTGGAGGATAAGGTGGTGGAGGGGATAACAAAGGAGGTGCACCACTATAATTCATTATTGGTGGTTCTATAGTACCTGGTGGAGGAAGATAAGAGTTTGGAGTAATTACAGGAAAATTACTGCCTCCCATAGGTGGATAACCTGGATAAAGACCACCACCAGCACCACCTGGAACATATGATTGTGGAGTAAGAACAGGAAAAGGTCTAGGATATGGAGCGGTTCTGCCTCTCGGCGTTGCGAAAGGACGTGGTGGTGGCGGTTTGGCCAACTAAAATAGATAAAAATTAATAAATTCATGTTGCTTCAAAAGTTACTTATTCGTGCAAATAAAAGCTGCAGTATTACTGCCATATTTTGATAAGATGGACTGATTTTTTTTACTACTTGTAAAAAAAAAATTGTTCAGTTTATATTCATAAGAAAACCAATGATGGAAATTTATATCTTATTAATTAGTGTAACCTGATATTTATAGTAATAAACAACTGAGATTATTAAATGAATTATTTTTTGTTTTCATAATTAGTCAAAGATCGCATTTTCATATTCATATCAAAAGTAATATTTCAAAATAGTAATTTTCCATTGATTCTTTTATGAATATAATCTATAAGTATTTCTTTTTTAACAATGAATAAATCAATTGATTTAGTCAAAATAAGGCAGAAATTCTTAAGTTTTTTATTCCAGAATAGTATTTTTTTGAATCATCGTATTTTTATATATTATATTTGAAAATTTAAAAAAAAAATATTTCTTTCCAGATAAATTCAAAAATGACAACAGTGGATCATAAAACTGATTCTGTTATAAAAATTGATCCGTCTGAACTTGATTGTCTTCGTTCAAATGTTCTTAAATCTCAAATAGCTACATATCGTTGTCTAGCTCGAAATTTACCTGTATCAGATTCTTTACTTAATTCATGTTCATATAAATCACAATTAGCTAATCTAATTCAAAATCACCTTCAACAAGAACAATCAAATCCAAATGGTATTGTTCTTACTCAAACATCCAAAGCAAATGATCAAAATAATATTGACACATCGTCAACATTTTCATCGGCAACTGATATGTATCGATGGTTAATTCAATCGAATCAAACAAATGAAGAAAAAACTGTTAATAGAACTCAAAAACATCCAATTTATTTTAATCCATTATATAATCAACAAGAACGAGATAAACGGTAAATGATATATTCTTTATCGGTATAAAAATTCAACTGATTCGTTCTTATTTCTTAGTGCTCTTAATCGTATATCAAATCGTCTTCAAGAATTAGAACATATGCCAGCTAATATGAATGCTGAATTACGAACACGAGCATTAATCGAATTAAAATCGCTTAAATTACTTCAATTTCAAAAACAACTTCGTAGTGAAGTTCTCAATACAATGAAGGTTTTTATCAAATCTCTTTATTGTAAAATACAATTAGAGCCCATTGAGTCTAACTTTAAAAATGTTGGCCTTGATGGGCTCTAAACACAATCGACAAGAGTGTCGAAGTATAGAGGTAGAAACTTGAGTCTCTCTCTCTCTTCCGCTACGCTAGAGATGTTTTTGAAGGCATACGATTACAGACCGTATATCATTGACATCTTGTTACCATATATGAACTATCTTAATACATTTCTCGAAGATTATATAGAAGGATGATAAAGAAATGTATTCCAAAATAGATAGAATTAAATAATCTCTGTGTAATGAGCAAGAGTAGCTACATTATATTTTTCACATTTTATTTCTACAAGAATTTCATAAACAGATTTTAAAATGATATTCTAATTTCTTTTACTAATAGAAAGATACATTAATTGAAACTACTCTTAATCCTCGTGCATATAAACGTCCAAAACGTCATCAACTTCGTGAAGCACGTTCAACTGAATATAATGAACGACAACGTAAATTAGAAATAAAACAACGAAAACATGCTAAACATCAAGAATTTTTAAATGCTATATTAACACATGCTAGAGATTTTCGTGAATATCATCGTCGATATACAATGGCAACAATGCGTATGAATAAATCAATTCAAGCTTATTTTGCTAATAATGAACGTGAATTAATTAAAGAAAAAAAACGTCAAGAACGAGAACGTCTTATAACTTTAATGAATAATGATGAAGAAGGTTATAGAAAATTAGTTGATGAAAAAAAAGATGCACGTTTAGCGTTATTACTATCACAAACAGATGCTTATATTGATAGTTTGAAACAATTAGTACGACAACATCAACAAGCTAATCGTTCACATGCACGATTAGATAAAACAAATACTAATAAATCAGAAGAATCAAGAAGACCAGTAGTTAATTCTCCATCAATTAATCAAAAATCAACAACAACAACGTAAGTTCTCATTGAATAGAACATAAAGATTTCATTTTGTTTTTTTTTTGTTAGTTCAACAATCGATCAAACTGGTAATGATAAAGCAATACGTGATGCTGTTAAAATTGCAGCAACAAATGAAGATGATGAATATGATGCAAAAGAATCATATTATTCAATAGCTCATCGTATAGTTGAACCAATAACTGAACAATCAAAAATGCTTGTTGGTGGACAACTTAAACCATATCAATTACAAGGTCTTGAATGGCTTGTTTCATTATATAATAATAATTTAAATGGTATACTTGCTGATGAAATGGGTCTTGGAAAAACAATTCAAACAATAGCATTAATTGTACATTTAATTGATTGTAAAAAAAATCCAGAACCATCATTAATTATTGTACCATTATCAACATTATCAAATTGGGCTGCAGAATTTCGACGTTGGGCACCAGATGTAATAGTTATACAATATAAAGGTTTACCACATGTACGTAAAATGCTTGCACAAACAATACGTACAAGTCGTTTTAATGTTTTATTAACAACATATGAATATATAATGCGTGATCGTTCAATATTATCAAAAGTTTCATGGAAATATTTAATTGTTGATGAAGGACATCGAATGAAAAATCATCATTGTAAATTAACACAAATATTAAATACATATTATTCAAATGCTCCACATCGTTTATTATTAACGGGTACACCATTACAAAATAATTTACCGGAATTATGGGCATTATTAAATTTTATCTTGCCAACTATATTTAAATCTTCAACAACATTTACAGATTGGTTTAATGCACCATTTGCAACATTACCAAGTGAAAAAGTTGAATTAAATCATGAAGAAACTTTATTAATTATTAAACGATTACATAAAGTTTTACGACCATTTCTTTTACGTCGACTTAAAAAAGAAGTCGAATCACAATTACCAGAAAAAGTTAGTATTTTCTTTATGTTTTAAATAAAATTTAATTTTTATTTATTTCTTATTGTGTTTAAACAATTGAATTCATATATATGAAAATTTTTGTTACAAATTAGACATAATTTATGTCATCATTTTTTTTTTCTTACACATTCAAAAATTATCTATAAAGTTATGTCAAATCAAAAATCATAGATATAGTCCATTAGATAATCTTTCTACTAATTGGGTTTTTCTTCAGTAAATTTGAACAAAAAAAAAAAAAACTTATTTTTTCTCTAATTTATCCAAAAATCTTAACAAAATACTGTTACGAGAAAAATGTATAATGAAATATTTCACTTTTTTTTCGATTATCAACCCACAATAGTGTTGTTTCGACTTATGTTTACACTACCTATACATGGTTTATTACTCACAAGGACGTCTTTCTAACTTGAAAATTGATTTTAATTGGGTTTTATCTTATGCAGAGAGTACGAACTCAAAAACTCATTTTCAAGTTGGATAGATTCTTTCGATAGTCAATCGGGATAATTGCATCTAATAAAAATTATTGTTCTTCTAGTTTTCTTTTTTTTTTGTTGTTGTTTGTTAACAGAATTTTATAATCGGTTTTGCTCGACTTCAGCAGGAAACTTTTCAAACGAAGCAAAACACGACTATAAAATCCTATTCATTTTTATAAATGTTGATGTTAACAAACAAAGATAGAAAAAAAACCAAGAATCATAAAATTACATGAAATACAATGGGTTTCTATTTTCTCAATGAATTCTTGCTATTTATAACTGAAACTTTCGGAACAGACTGAATTACAAATTATGTATCGATGTTGTAAATAAAGTGAGCAAAAAAACAAAAAGAATTTTTGTATGAAAATGGTGTCTAATATTATCAGATAGAAGTTAGCTATTGTATATGATAACATGTTATTTTGTAAAATTTAGCAAAAATCTTTTATATAATTAATTATTTTTCATGATTCTTATAGGTTGAATATATAATAAAATGTGAATTATCTGCTTTACAACGTTGCCTTTATCATGCTATGGCAAAAAATCGTACATTAATTATTGAAAATCAAAATGGTAAAAGTGGTCGTCGTGCATTAATGAATAAAATAATGCAATTACGTAAAATTTGTAATCATCCATTTTTATTTTATGAAATAGAAGAACGTTTAGCACAATCATTAGGTTATGAAGATGGTGTTATAAATGGACCTGATTTATTTCGTGTATCAGGTAAATTTGAATTACTTGATCGTATATTACCAAAATTAAAAGCAAGTGAACATAAAATATTATTATTTTGTCAAATGACATCTGTTATGGATTTACTTGAATATTATTTTTCTTATCGTAGTTATTCATATCTACGTTTAGATGGTACAACAAAAGCTGATGATCGTTGTGAATTATTAAAAAATTTTAATGATGATAATGTAAATTGTTTTATATTTTTATTATCAACACGTGCTGGTGGTGTTGGATTAAATTTACAAAAAGCTGATACAGTTATTTTATTTGATTCCGATTGGAATCCACATCAAGATCAACAAGCACAAGATCGTGCACATCGTATTGGACAAAAAAATGAAGTACGAGTTTTACGTTTAATAACTGTTAATACAGTTGAAGAAAAAATCTTAGCTTGTGCTAGATATAAATTAAATGTTGATGAAAAAGTTATACAAGCTGGAAAATTTAACCGTTCATCAACATCAAGTGAACGACAAGATTATCTTGAACAATTAATTGAAGGTGAAGATGAATGTAAAGATGATGATGAAGATATACCAGACGATGAAATTCTTAATCAAGTAAAATCAAATAATATTTTTTCTAACAATTCTATACTTAACACGTTAATAATTTCGAATTCTATGATTAGTATAAGAAAAAAAAATTCGATTTAGACTTTTGCAATTTAACATAGATTATAGATATTGACAAGTTCAGATCTAAGGAACTGTCCGTACGAATAATTTTTCGTTCTATTTTTGAGAAAAACACTTACGGGTATAAGTAAACATGTGTTTTATTGCTGAAATGCCGTTCCTGAAATAGAACGAAATCTTTCGGACAACTCAGCTTCAAGAATTGAACTGTTCGAACAGTTCTTTCGTTCATTGGATCGAAATCTTTGAATTGGAAGCTGGTCAATTCCGTATAGATTAGTACGTTGAACATCGAACTATTTATAATTGGAAACTTCACAAATCTTAATTCTTTTTCATTGTTGAGTTTTCGTCAAAATGTTTCCAATCATTGATTTCTAAATAGATACTGACTATTAACATGTAGCTCTGATCGCGAAAGTGTTCCAACGGGAGATCAGAATTTCGGCTTGTCATTTAACTAAACTTATTGACCCCTTAAAAATTTTCTTCAGTTCGTTGTTAAGTATTGTACCTCTGAGCGGGACGATACAGTGCTCTGCGACATTGTGTGAGTGTGAGACCAAAATGTGGGTGTGTATGAGTACCGACTATACACACCCACACCCACCTCATCTTGCTGAGAGCTATGTCTTCTTGCTCAACAGTACGATACTTAGCAATGAATCAAAGAAAAATTTTTAAGGACTGATGAGTTCAGTTTAATGGCGTGTCAAAAGTCCTGTAGAAATTTCGGACTGGCCCGAAATTCATGTAACCCGTTCCAACTATTGAATCGTTTCTAAGTCGAGACTATGTACATTATGTAGATTCAAATGAACTATGAATATCTTGAAAAAAACTTCGTACCCATAGTTTATTGCTATGAAGATACTGCACTCTTACAGTCTCTCTTTTTAAATGAATAAGGTGGTTAATAGAAAAACTGAATTTTGACTTGAAACTTTACATAGAAATAGTGGGAGAACTTCCCTGATAAGATGAAAGCTAATCTGATACCTAGGATACCTTTTATCTAAAGAAAAGAAATTTCCTATTCTTCTCTCAATAGCATTAAAAGAAAAACAAAAAAAAACCAATAACCAATAGCTAAATCTATATGTTATCATTAAGTTCTTTGTTTGAATAGATGATTGCTCGAAGTGAAAGTGAATTCAATTTATTCAATCGTTTGGATGTTGCACGACGTGAATATGAATCTCGTTATGGTGTTGGTAGTGGTGGTGATGGTGCTAATGAACGTGAAGCATGGAAATTATCGAATACGAATGATAATACAAAATCTATACCTCGAGTTAAACGTAAAAAAGAAAGTGATAATGAAGATTCAATCGATCAAACAACTAAAACAAGGTATTGCAAGAAAATATCTTTTAATTATTTTTTAATTTAATATATTTAAATATAATATATTTTTAGTAAAATTCCAATATCATTAATAGATCATAGTGATGATGAAATAACTCGAGAAGGAACATTAACAATAAGTGAAGAAACTACTCCATCATTATTATTAGAAGAACTTGAAGATGAAGAAGATGTTGATTATACTCAAGAAAAACCAAGAGTTCATCGTAAAATGAAAATAAGTCGTCTTATGACTGAAGATGAACTACCTGAATGGTTAAAAAATGATGTTGATCAAGTTGAAAAAACTCTTGAAATTGATCAAGATTTTGGTAAAGGACGTCGTCAACGTAAAGACGTTGATTATAGTGATAATTTAACTGAAAGAGAATTTTTACAAGCATTAGAAGAAGGAAATTTAGATGATACACTTGAACAAAAACGTATACAAAAACAAAATCGTAAAAATAATCAATCATTACAAGATAATGATATTGATCTTGATGAAATTGAAACACGTTCATCATTTGATATTCCATCAACATCAACATTAAATCAACAAAATTTTAGTTCAAAACGTGGTAGTATTAAAAAACGTTTAGAAACTAATGATCCAAAAATAATACTACAATGTCGTTTATTATTTGATCATTTATTAGCTTATCATACTGATGACAATCGTCAATTAGCACAAATATTTATACGTTTACCAGGACAAAAACAATTACCATTATATTATCAAATTATTAAAGAACCTATTGATTTTCAACGCATAAAAAGAAAAATAGATACATATCGTTATTCAAGTTTAGAACAATTAGATGCTGATATTAAATTGCTTGTAGAAAATGCACAAACATTTAATTGTGATACGTCAGTTATTTATTCAGATTCAATTCAATTAGAAAAAGTTTATCAAAATTTACGTGAACAACTTAAATCTGGTTCACTTCAATTATCAACAGAAACAACAACAACAAGTATAACTGATGAATTAGTAACAACATCACAAATTTCACCTAAACGAGGACGTAGTACACGAACATCAACAGCTACAACAACGACGACAACTACAAATAATAGAAGAGTTTCGAAAAGAGGACGTAAACGAAAAGCCATGATTCTTAAAGAAGATGATATATCTGATGACGAACAAGTTATATCCGAAGATGATGATAATGATGAACATTAATTTTTAATTATTTTCTATTGTTATTTTCATGATAAACATGTATATGTTTAAAAAGAAAACAAAATAACCGAATAAATTTCTTTCTTTTTTCTTCGACTTTGTCTTTTTTTTTGAAGCAGTAGGTGTTTACAGTTTTCATGTCTCCTTCCAATTCAATGACATTCATTATTATCAAGGATAGATAAACAAGGCATATTTTCAATATTATTTATTTATTAGTCTTACCTTATTGCCCATTTTAATGAGTGGATTTGTTCAATAAGATGACCGCTTGTTGATATGGCTGAATAGTTGATTTATTTTTCACTCGTCTTCTTTTTTTTTTATCGTCGTGTTCACCAGTGTAACGGTCACAATTATGATTGTCCCGTTTTCTCTCACTTTTCTCTGTCGTTCTTCGGTTGATAAATATTCTATTATGATATTATCCTTTTTTCTAAAATTAGATTAAAGAGGTTTTCATTTACGTTTGCATTAAAAGAAAATATTGAATGTATTATTCAGAAAATGTTAAAATCTTAACGTGACTATCGACATTCAATCAATATTAGATACTAGAGAAAAATCGAAAAATTCCATACTTTCACATACTCAAAAAGTATGTCGAAGCTATTCTCTAGAATCTATTAGCAGCTACTTGAACTATACTATCAACGTATATATTACAATCATATTAGTTTGGGTTCATTTTGTATAAGTCTATCTATGTGGATGTGAATGAACAGGAGATCCACATTCGTCTTTAAATTTCGAGAGCTCTATTGAACTTTTGATGTGAATATGGATTTGTTCAAATAAAATAATTTTTTTGTATTTCTTTAATTTCTTTTTAATATTAGGTTCAAATGTCGGGAGCTCCTCTGACGGAGATATTCAACGTCGATTTTTTACTATGGTATCAATTCAAGAAAATGGAGATATATGATAATTAAAATATGCTATCGACTAGAAGTGTCAGTTGTGGGTTCTGTTATTGAGAATAGAGAACTCATAAATGTTTCTGAAAACTTAACGGGTGTCCCAGAATAAATTATACCATTCGTATTTTGAGTATAACTCTTCTATTATCCATTAGATCGGGACATCTTTTTATACTAAAAGATAGCGCTTGAAATTCTCTACAAAATTATATATGACTAGTCCCAAAAACTGTCTTAGATATATTTGAAAAAAGATGAAAAGTAACGACATATAAAAAGCTGTAAAAAATAACGGGTTGGACATAATGANCCAATATAGAAGATATTGCATGAACATAAGAGACTACACCCTATATATTCTATGCTAGTATTTAATTAAGTTTCCGAGGAAATCTTGACAAGATATCTAATCTTTTGTTATAATAATAAGAATATTTTCTTTTTTTTTTGTGTGTGTTAAAGATTGTCATAATGATTCCATATGTACAGATGATATTAAATCAGATGGTTTAGTTAAATTTACATGTTCGGAAATGATGATTGAACAAAAATGGACACATATAACACTTGTTTGGGCTAAAGGAATGCTTAAAAATAGTGCTGTTACATTATATATCAATGGAAAACAAATAGCTGTACAAAAAGTAAATTTTTATATTAAACAAAAAAAAAAAAGATAGTTGTTACAGAAGAAATTAGAATTCAGGAAAATTCAAAAATTTTCCTCAAACAAATGAAAATTTCAGTTTTTTCTATTTAAATTGATAAAAACTCAGTATAAAATGAAAATCTACATTTAAAATAAATATTTATATGAATAACATACGAGATCTATTGAATTTATCCAAATATAAATTTCTTGATTTGTGTGATCTTAATTCAACAACATTACCATGATTGATATTCATTCAAGTATGCAAAGCGTATAGGAATGTAGAATTAATTAGTCCTATTGAAACATGTAGCTGTAGTAGCGTTTGTTCAACAAAGAAATGTCATTGTCAGACAACAAAAATACAGTCTAGTACCAAATTTCATATGTTCAAATGTCTAGAAATAATAAAATTAATACTATAGAAAAAACTGAAATTTTGAATTTTAATTTTTTCTGTAAAATATTTTAATTTAAACAAAAAATATTTATCTTTAGCTTCATTATATAAATAATATGACTGTTCCACCTGGAAATAGTATTTCAACATTTGCATATATTGGTTCATTACCAATTCAACGTGTACATTCAGGTGTACAATGGCGTCAAGGTCCATGTTTTCTTGTTGATGATATTCTTTCATCACAAATTATTCTCGCTATGTATGTAGCTGGTCCAAATTATATTGGTTCATTTCAAGCTGTTTGTGTTGGTATGTGAATAGAACAAAAATTTTCAATTTAATTAATAAAACAAATTTCTGTCTTTTTTTTGTAGATCCAATAAATGATATATTTGCACCATTATATCCTGAAGACAGAATCATATTTGGTTTACATCCAGCTAGTTTTTTTGAAACAACTTTATCACAATTTAAAAAACTTTATAGTAAAAATGATGCAAAATTAATTGCTAAACAGGTATAAGAAAGGAAAAATTTATGAAATTAATATTTATCTTTTTCAATTAAACGAATAAGAATTGAATTACAAATTTAATTAGTTTGAGTCTCGAAATGAGATAATCATTCAATATAGAATATATATATTATGAAATAGATTAGCTAAGATTAGTGAATCGTAATAGAATATTTATTTCTTATAAGAATCAGAAATACGAATGAATCTTTTCTAAATAGTTTATTTAGAAGTGTTGATTAATTTATTTCGAAAAATATTATTTTATAATAATAGAAGAAACAAGAAAATATTTATTTATGATTATTGATACTTAAATTATTTATATTTTTAATAAATATTGTAAATATAGATGAATTTATTTTATGATATTTTAGTCAGTGAAAAATTTAAACCAAATAAACTCGTTTTTTTTTAAAAGCCTTCATTTGCGAAAGAATTTCTTTAGCTGCTCTCTTTCGATTTCAATGATTTTTTTACATTCAGGTGTTACATAGTGGTCTAATAAAAATCCTAAAAAGAATTTTGGTTACCATTGATATTTGACTGAATTATCGAATTTTTTAATACTTCTATTTTCTGGAGCCCGAGTTTTCGAAAAACACGTATTTTTAAATTTCGATTTTAAACTTTACGCATGTAAAGAACTTATCTCGAAGACAGTAGGTTCAAAACTTCTGAAATTCTTTTATGAAAGCTGTTCTAATTGTGTTTTCTATCTGCACAAAGTTTCAGGCCAAAATTCGAAAATAAAAGTGTTTCCGAGAATTTGGCATCCAGAAAATAGACATATTATCTTGAAAAATAAATACATATTAAATGTAAATTTCTAAGTGTCCGAAATTAAACTTAAAACTATTAGATTTCATTTTATTTTCTCTTTTGATTTCAATATTGAATATATATTTATATTTATTTAGTTGAATATGCCAACAAATGAATCGACAGTACCTATTCGAATTTTATATAACATTGCAGCACCATATAGTGGTCCTGCTCGGACAATTGGTGGTGTAGTCATTGGTTATTTAGGTAAATATAATAGTTAAAAAAGTTTCTTTTACAACACTTATGTGAATCAAGAAATCTCAAAGTTTGACATAAGTAATCAGTTCTAATATCAAATGTCTGAATCAAAGTCAAATATTTTTTTCTTTTCAGTATTATCACGTACTTAGCTAAATTGCCTGATACCCTAAGAAATATAATGCCATATTTGATGAAACTAATGTATTCCTAAAGTAATCTTTATCATCTGACGCTACTTCCATCTGAAAGTATTAATATAAATTCAGTATTATCCTTAAGATGCTTTCATTTGACCAGCACTCTCGAAATCTCAATACAAAGAGCTAAAATTATCCTAGATTCAAAATTCCTATATGCTTCTTAATAGGAGACATTGGGGTCACTAAGGCTAATTGTCACCTTCTCTTTTTCGTAGCTGTCATTCATCTGATAGTATTAAAGTTTCATTTACAAATACGAGACACTATTTGAGATACTTAATTTTCTCTGTACATCCTGATGAAAACGAACAGTACATCATATTTTGAAACAAAAACAAAATTAAACACCTTAAACATTTTCTAATATAAGTAGAATAAAGTATCAGCTCGATTGAATGTTTTTTGGTTAAGTTCTAATATTAATTTTTCTTTTATAGGTGTTCGTATATTTGTTCCGAATCCAGTATCAAAAACTATTGAATATATTGGTGGTCCAAATGTAATCCTTGGTTTAATAGCAATGTCAAATGATATTGAATCATTTTGTGCATCAGTTAAAGCATTTGTTTGTATACTTAAATCAAATAAACAAATTCAAAATGAATTATTAAGAACAAGAGCATATCAAGTAGAAATATTTTTTTTTTGATTGTTTTTTCTTTTATTTTGAACTATTTTTATTTAGATTCTTGGTCTTTTATTTCTTAAAAAACGTCATCTAATCAATAGTCATATATTACATTTAACATGTACACTTGTTGGTACAATTGATACTGTACGTGAATCAACAGCTATAATAAATCCAGCTGCTTTTGAACATTTATTATGTGAATTTGAAGTAAGAGATAGATTTTGTTTCTTTTTTGTTAAATTAAAAACAATTTTATATTATTGAACTTTTTAGATTTGGAAAGGTGCTAATGTTGATATACAAAAATCTTTATTTGATCATTTACTTGATGTATTTTTAACAAGGTAAAAAAATAATAATATGTTGTTTTTTTTTTTATTTAATAAAATTCTTGTCTTGTCTTTTTTCTTATAGTGATACACAAAATTTAATGATGAATCAAAAATTATCACAAAAAATTAATTTAATGTCACGTTTATTACATTTACTTAAAGATGGTTCATTATATGAATCAACACGTTTAATTGTTATAGGTCTTATTCGTGTATTACTTGTTACATATAAAAGTACAAATGATATATTAAAGTAAATAGATGAAATTTCAACAAGAAAAAATTATACTGATTCCTTTATAGACTTGGTCAATTTCTTGTTTATCTTCTACCATCAAGTTCAATATCAGAAAAAAATCTTAATATTTATGGACGTAAGTTATTTCAATTATTTATTTTCATTCGTTTGTTTTTTTCCTCTTCTGTTATATTTTAGCTGTTGATGATTTATCAATCGGTATACAAAATATAATTTTACGTAATTTTCTTTTGGAAATGTTAGCTCGAACAATAAGTGAAGAAAAACGTTCACAAACAAAGTATAAATTATAAAAAGAAACAAAAACGAATTGTCTTTTTTTTAAAATTTATCTCTTTTTAGTTTAACTGACGAATTTCTTACACATCTTGGTTATGATTGGGTTCTTCTTTTTCTACAATCACATCTTCATCCACGTACAATTATTTTAACAACAAAATTACTTATTGCTTTTCTTTTATCATCATCAAATGCACTTACACGTTTTCGTGATAATGCTATGCTACTTATAAATCCATCAACAACAAATAATTCTTCAACATCATCAACAACAACAACAACAACTGGATTTACAATATCATCACCAACATCAAATACAACTATTACAACACCATTATCACCATTATCATCAATTAATGATAGTTGGATTAATGTATTTAATGATCGACCAGCAACAAAACCAACGTTTGCATTAAGTATTGATCCAACATTAGCACTTGGGAATAATACAAATGTATCTATACCTTTACCTGGTTTTGTTCTTTTACAATATATATATGCACAACTATCAGAAGTTATACCAATTTATTATCAATTAACAGCACTTCTTTTTCGATTAATGCCATCGGATGAAATGATGGAACTAACAGAGGTTAGAAAATACATAAAAAAAGAAAAATAGATTAGAAAAATTATCTTTTCGAAAATATGATGCCGATAATCATTTCTGAATTTCATCATCGATAGACTGAACTAACGATTTAACATGTTCATTATTAGTTCATGTCTACAAAACAGTCGAATATATATATATTATTAACCCTGATACGATCATTTCGAAGTTCGTGCGAATCTTAGTCAGTTTCATTACATTGTTAGAAGTACATAATAAATCACTCATCTTCCAAATATGCTCCATTAAAGACTAGTAGAATGTGCTGATAATATCTGCCAGTAATATCCAACTATTAATTATGTGAGTAAACCAATACCGAAGTACATGTGAACACTTGTTGACTACCTGGAGTTTGCCCGGACCGCAGTAAGATTCATTGTTATATTATGCATTCATCATAAGCAAATGATCTTCTATAGACCAATTCACTGAGTACTGATGTATAATTTTAAATGCCTCGAAAAGAGACTAGATAAATATAATTCAAATTAACTGATCTTTTTGTAATAAAGTCTTCATCGGTTCATTATAAACAGTTATTTTATCAATTGAATTTCGCATGGACTCTAGGTCTATGCATTACTCTTAAATCTGTTTTCCTTAATAATATATATATGAAAGTAAATAATGACTTAATAAAAAAAAAATGTGTTATACATGTATTCAATTTTTGTTTTCCAAGAAATTCAATCGTATTTTTTTATCAGATAAAAATTTGAAATTTCTACTATTTGGTTACAATAATATTTTCAAGATTGAAAACTTAAAAAAAAAAAACTTAATTATGAAATATCATTAAATGTTTTTTTTTTTTTTTGACAAAAAATAATTATCATAGATTAGTTTTAATTAGTATTAAGAAAGTAAGTAGATATAGGCGAGATAGTCTCAACCTCGGCGGAACCGGAAACAATTTTTTTTACCGAGACTGAAATGAAAAAACAATTGGTCTCACTCATGTCTAAAACCAAATCAACAATTTATGTTTTCCATCTCTTTTTTTTTTGTGATTACAACAATCAATCAGGAATATAAAAATTCTACTTTTCTCCTATCGGATACAATAAATGATTTATTTTATCCTGTTAAATTGTTCATAATATTCTGTTACATTATACATCTTGGAAAATTTTGAAAAAGAAAAATAACTGTGAAATAATCTTGGCTCTTTCTTTTTTCTTTTTGTTAGCTTCGTGTTGAAAAATTATTAAAATTTATAAATATTTATACTCCCCTTGCTGCTACTCTTTCGACTGCAAGTTCATCAGTATCAAAACAACAATCAACAGCTCAACCGCAACAACAATATGAATTAGATGCTTGTCCTATTCTTCTTGCAATGATTCGAAATTTAGCTTCACAAGTAAAATAAAAATCTAAATAATGTTTTTTTTTTTGTTGTTTTCTATTTATTATATTTAGGAAAATGAACAAGCTGAACAAAATGGTTTAGCTGTATTAAAATTTTTTCATCAATTATATCGTCGAAAAAGTGAATTTTATAATTATGCTCAAACTGTTGAATATCTTTCATTTCTATGTGGCGTTGTTTTTCCTCCAATAATTGTAAGTATAATTATTTTCTCATTAAATCATTTCCTATGATATTCATCTAGCAAAATCAAATGTCTTTCGATTCACCAAGTACAATTACTCGTCAGGTAAAATACATTAAATTCGTTCAAAAAACAAAACTTTTTATTTTTTTTAAAGAAAAATGTCAATAATGAAGAATCTGCTTCACCAACTATTCATCTCGATTCTCTGTTTGGTAAAAAGAAAACATTTGTTTGATCTAATCTCTCAAAATCAATTTTGGACTTGGAACATTCAAACTATGTGCCATTTTCAGTTTGATACCACGATGTTTTCGTGAGATATTCATCAAAAATAGCTAAATTGGAAATCGGAAGTTTTCTGTAGACTTTCATTGGTATTCTGTTTGAAAAAAAAACATGTTAGACTGCAAGTTCTAATAGAGCTCTTTTTTTAAGTGCTTGCCCTCAATAAGGGTGAAAAGCCCAATGTAGCTCAAAACTCTAAAGATGGTTAAAAAGATATCAAATTTTTTGTAGTATTAGACTTGTTATCATTATCCTCCATGGAAAAACTAAGAGTTTACAAATGAACGCCTACAGAGAGAATTTCCGATTACCATGTTATCTACTTTTTATTCTTACTTGATAAATAATCTCAATACAACATCATAATATTGAGCTGAAAGTTCCACTATAGATTTTCCACTAGAACTTCTTGGGTGCGAAACTAATTCAGCGGACTCTAGTCCCAACCTATGCTGAATATTTCATTTCTTTGAAAAGTTCTTAGTCCAAACTCTATTTTAGACCGTAGAATCTTAAACTGATTTATTCGTTTTTGTTTTTATTTCTTAGCTACATTTACATCAAATATAACATTACGTGGAACAGTAGTTGATATCGTACGAGATATAATTGTCGATAGTCTCTATTCAAATACAGCACGTATACCAAATGCGATTGATTATTTTCTTTCTGTATGTTTCATTAAAAAAAAAAACTTGTAAATAATTTATTTAAAAAAAAAAATTTCTTTTTAAGGCTCTTCCAGATAATATGAATTCTGATTTAACATATCAAATATTTGTTCAATGTGTATTTAAATCAATAATAGAACATTTAGAAACATCAGAATTATGTCCATTAAGTTTAAGTGAAGAACAAACAAATGCACTTCATTTTGGTCTTAGTGATGAACCAGGACGACCAGCATATTCACGTACAATTTCAAGTATGTCATCGAACTCATCATCAACAAATTTTAATGTATCATCATATAAATTATTACTTGAAAATGTTACACATTTTATTGAACGTATGGTTGATAAAATCTGGGATATTGATTATCGTGAACCAAAACATATATTTGAATTTGTTATAAAAGTAATTAATCAAGCTAAAAAACGAGGTACAAATACATTTATGGAGTCGCTTTTTCGTTCATTAAATCGAACAATATTATTTGAATTATCAAGAAAAATTGATTCATTTGGAGGTATAAAATATCAAAAAGGATTTTTTTTTTTTATTTACAAACATTAATCATTCTTTTCTTCTTAGATCAAATGACTGCACTTGATGCATTACATCGTTTAGCTAATAATCGACAATTAATTTTTTCGGATTCAAATCAAGATGCTGAATTTTTTGGTTGTCTTTGTTATTGTTTAATTATTTTAATCGATGAAACAGGAACAAAACAATTCAGGTAAAACAAAAGAAAAAGATAAAGTACACTAATTGAAAATTCGAATTTTCTTTAGTGATGATTCAAGTTCACGATCAACTTGGTATCATCGTCTTGATAGTCCAGCATCACCTTTGCAACCAAATAAAGGTTTAATAATTAATGCTGCACAACGTATTTGGTCAGAATTATATATGAAAAAGAAACCAGTATGAAAAGCAAAAAAGAAAATCTTTAGCTTAGTTGAACTTTTCATAAATGATTTGTTTTTGCTTTTCTAGGCATTAGAAGAAATACTTAAAATGAATTTTTCACTATTAGTTACACAAAATAAAACAACATTAGTTGATGTTAGGTAAATTAAAGAAAAAATAGTTGACTGATGATCTATAAAAAAAAAAAATTTTTTTTTGGTGAATTTTGTTTCTTGTTTTTTGTCTAGTGAATATTTATTTGAATCAGCATCAAAAGTTTGGACAAGATTTGTCGAAGGAGAATTAAGAATAACAGATAAGATTCAACAACAAATTATGCATGTTGGTTCGGTATGTAATTAATAATTCAATGTTAACAGTTTTTATTTATATCGATAAAGTTAACCAAAATAGAATATGATCAACATTTGATTCTTTATAAGACTTATTTTTTCGAATACATTCTTGTACCATGAATATATGTAAAAATCTTAGTTCTTGCAGCTAACAACTAATTATATCGTAATCAATGAATAACTCTCGAACCTTATAATGGAAAAGTTCAAGAATTTCAAGATAGACTTCATCCGAGAAACGATTTATATGGTGAAATTTCCATAATGATTGCACCCGACGAGATTGCCCCCTCCCCCACACACTTCTGTCCAAAAAACAGTTTTCCAGAGATATTCTCATGCTTCGGAATGAAACCTTTTGCTTGACTATCATCTGGCAATCCCCAGGAAAGTTTATTATTCCAAGAATGACAATTTTTTATTTGACGATGTCACGTTACTAACAAATGTGAAAGTTTCTTTCGAATCTTATACTCGTTTTATTTTTTGCATAATTGAGAAAAAAACCTAGCGACAACAATTTAATCTAAAATGATATTTATGTAGACATATAATCTTCATTAGGAAACAAACATTTCTTTTTTTTATAAAATTACGTTTACTTTCTATTTTCGACTGAAAAAAAAGAAGTTTCTTAGAGTTGGATATCTTTGATTCTGTCTAAAAATTAAAAACTGAGATCTAGGAAAATTCTAACAGACTGAATCAAAGTTTTCATTGTTCTTCTAATAGTTGAATACATCTGACAAGATTTAAGAACTATATGAAAATCTCTGTGTCTGAAGTGTTCAAAGAAATATATTGAAATAAAAATCTTGTATTTTTAGCGTATACAGCGATTGACTGGTGGTGTAACAGTGGGTTTTCGATCAAGTCTTCATCAACTTCGAGGAACAAAAGTAAAACGTGAACAAATTAAATTAGATCGAGCAACCATTCATGTAAAAAACAAAAATTTTTTTCTTTTTTTGAAAAATATTTATTCATTTGAATTTAAAATTTTGTCTATTTAAAGAGTGCTTTGGCTTTAATGTCTGTTAATGTTTCCAGTGTGAAAGAAAATGTTGACAATGAATATCGTCGATTAGCACAAGTATAAAAATCTTATGATTAAAAAAAAACATCAAATAATTTTTTGATATAAAAATTTTCTTTTAAAGAATTGTGAACAAAAATTTAGTTATCTATATGAAGAATGGTTAGCTATCGAACGTGATTTATTACGTGAACGTGGTTTATGGGGTTTTGATGAACCTGATCCATTAGCTAAATATAAACTTGATTTTATCGAAGGACCATGTCGTATGCGTAAACGAATGGTACTTAATGAAGATTTCTATAAACATTATCCATATCGTATTCCAATTGAACATACGGTAAATAAATTTATTTCGATTATTTTAATGATATGACGAAAAAGACAAACTTCCCTTTTTTTTTTTATAATGAAAAACGTCACCAACTCAGTGTAGTTAATGTCATACTGACTAGAGATCTGCATCGAAGTCAACTAAATGTCTTACTCATAAATCAGATTTAACATAAAAGGTTATTTCAACTGGAAATTTGATTCCAGATTTTCTCCGCCTTTGTAAAGCCTCGAAGTGACGTGAATCGAATCTCGTAAATTCATCAGTTTGTACAAAGAAACATGCTTGTTAGTTATTTAATATCAAAAATTGAAAAAGAAAGTTTGAAATGAAAGAGCTGAGGAATAGTTCATCGGAAACATCTTCAATTTTGTCTTTGTAAATGTATTAGCATATTCCAATTAACATAATAATACGTACAAACTCGTCCATATATATAGAAAAACTTTTTTCTTCAACAAAATTAACTCTATATATTCCTATTTTAGTTCTTTCTTTTTCCTATGATATACATTATGCGATTAAATGTTTTAAAAAAAATTGATTGAATTATTTGTTTAAAATAAACTATTTTATTTGTATTGAAATTTTGAATAAATAATATAATTCAATTTATATTCTTTAATATAGAAACGAAAGTTTAATCCACCAATATCATTGGATTCCAAACAATATTCTGATCGACAATTTCAACTTGTCGATCGTTTACTAATCATAAATCTGCCATCCATTGATAATTCTCTAATACCTTCAACACCAATAGTAAAAGAAACAAATGAAACACAATCGCAAACATCACCACCTACGATTTCAATTACATCAAAAGACACTAATGAATCACCAACAGAACAAATCGTTCGACAAGATAGTGAAATATGGACAAATGAAGAAGGTAATTCTAATAAGATAATTTATTATATTTGAATTGAAATTATTTTTTTTTTCCCATAGAAAAAGAATTACTTGCACCAACTTTATTATCAGTACGAAAGAGAACATTATCAAATGATATGTTACTAACAGACGAATCAATTATTGGTGATGATGATGAAGAAGATCCAATGGCTGCTAATTTAGAACCAGATGAAGTAGAAACAGAAGCTGAAACTCAACGTAAATAAATATATGAGAGATTTATTTTGAAAATTTTGATTTGTTTTATTGTATTAATTAGAAGCACCAACAACATCAAATGAAACACTTGAAATGGGACAAACTAATCAAAATGTTTTACGATTACTTGAAGAAGATGAAAAAGTTTGTTAATTTCATTTTTATTGTTTTATTTTAACACACAAAAAAAAAAAAATTTCTTTTTTCTTTTGGTAGATTTCATTAGCATTTCGTTGTGCACGTATTGAAGGACTTGATGGTAGTGAAGGAATATTAATATTTGGTCGTGAACATTTCTATATTCTCGAAGGATATACATATAATACAGAAAAAAATGAAATTGTTGATTTAGATAAATGTCGTAATGAATATATACCATTGATACCTAAATCATCAACAATAACAAATGCCGATACACAACAATATAGAAAAGAATGTTCAAAATTTGCCTATGAAGATATTAAAGAAGTTCATAAACGTCGACATATTTTACAAGTACATATAGAAGAAAATTTTCGTTTGAGTGTGGTTTTGTTTGTTTTTAGCCTATTGCTTTGGAATTATTTGCTGCTGATGGTCGAAATTATTTACTTGTATTTGTTCGTAAAGAACGTAATAAAGTTTATCAACGTTTACTTAGTTCAGCAACAGAATTAACTGATTCTGCTATTCATTCTGTATCTGGTCAACGACGAAGTATCAATATAGAACAGGGGTATAAAATTTTATTTTATTTATTCGATAATAAAATAAATTAAGATAATATAGTTTAATACATTTATTTCATTTTATCATAATAGCCATCTACGAAATCGTAAACAAATGTAAGGAATGATTGTTTTCTTTCAAAATGCATGACGAGATATGAATGGTTTCTCATAATTTTTCTTTTGAATTTATGAAAAAAAAAAAGAATTTCTTATTATTTAACTTCTTCTATGGCAGGGACAACTTGATTGTCTGTATTTGTTAACGATTTTAGTTTTGTAGTATTCTTTTTTTGCATGATATTTCAGAAGAGCAAAAAAGAAATTTAGAGTCAATTATATAATTTTTTTTGTACGATATGTTTAATTTTGTTATTTTTTAATGTATTTATTAGAACGAGTTTTATTGGAACACTTATGGGTGAACGTTCCGTTACACAACGATGGGAAAAAGGTGACATTAGTAATTTTCAATATTTAATGTATTTAAATACACTTGCTGGACGATCTTATAATGATTTAATGCAGTATCCAGGTATATTACGAATATATTACTGATTAAAACTTATAGTTACGTTTTATTTCTTTAGTACTTCCATGGATTCTAGCTGATTATGATAGTAAAGTAAGTTAAGCATATAGGAATCGTTTTTTTTAAAGTAGAAGATAAATCTATATAGGAACAAGGTAGAAATCTGTTATTTTCATAATTGAAAAACAATCTAATCGATTTATTAGGCGATGTTTAATTAGTTAAAAGAATTAACTTCAAAAAAATGCTTTTGTTTCTTTTTACAAATCTTCAGGAGTTTATATCTGTACGGTTTCACAAATATCAAGATGTTTTTTTTTTATTCTGACCGGAAATAAAATGAATCATTCATGTAACATCTAATTGTTAATCCCTAAGCCTTGAATTTTTCCATTACGATTTTATCTGACCCAAAGCAAATATAGTTTTTTTTTCTTTTCTTCTCAATAAATCACTTATTTGTTGAACATGACTGTTATTTAAATATCAGTAAGGTAAATCTAACGGCTAAATAAATTATTTGTTTATTTCTCGATCTTGTTTCTGACAAATAATAATTATAATTTTTGAATATTTAAAGGAATTAAATTTAACAAATCCAATTACTTTTCGTGATTTATCAAAACCAATGGGTGCTCAAACAATTGACCGTCTTGTACAATTTCAAAAACGTTTTGCTGAATGGGATGATCCAACAGGTTCAACACCAGCTTATCACTATGGTACACATTATTCATCAGCAATGATTGTTGCATCGTATCTTGTTCGAACTGAACCATTTACTCAAGTTTTTCTTCGTTTACAAGTGAATATGAGAAAATAAAATTTTCGAGTTTTTTTTTTTTTAATTTTTTTTCTTCAAAGGGTGGTCATTTTGATCTTGCTGATCGAATGTTTCATAGTATTAAAGATTCATGGTTATCAGCTAGTAAAAATAATATGGCTGATGTCAAAGAACTTATTCCAGAATTTTTTTATTTACCGGATTTTTTACTTAATACAAATAAATTTGATCTTGGTAAAGAATTATATTATTCTCAATAATTCAAAAATCTGGTATTCTTTTTTCTGTCTAGGTAAAAAACAAAGTGGTTTAGCTTTAAATGATGTTATATTACCACCATGGTCAAAAAATGATCCTCGCGAGTTTATACGCATTCATCGAATGGTAAGAATTAAAATAATAAATATTTTTTTATAGATATATAGACAATAAGAGAAATTTTAATTAGGCATTAGAAAGTGATTATGTATCGACACATTTAAATGAATGGATTGATCTTATATTTGGATATAAACAAGAAGGACCAGCAGCTATTGAAGCAACAAATGTATTTCATCATTTATTTTATGAAGGTGCTGTTAATGTTGATGATATTAGTGATCCTCTTGAACGATCAGCTGTATGTATTTTTTTTTCAGAAATACTTAAAATCTTTATTTTTATTTTTCTAGATCATTGGTTTTATAAATAATTTTGGACAAATTCCTAAACAAGTAAATATCAAGCAAAAAAAAAATTTATAAATAAAAGCCGATTTTTTCTCTGCTGATTTAATATCAATGGAAAAAAATAATCCTTATCTAAGTCTCCTATTCTTACAAATACCTGCTGGAAAAATTTTGTTCATTGAGTTTGCCTCTATGGAAAAAACATATTTTTCTTTTAGAAGCGAAACTGAAAATAGATAAACTTTAGTATTAAAATTTTTCTTACAAATAATCTGTTGTAATTTTCCTGAGAAAAAGCAAATTTTATTTCTAAAATTTAGATCTTTTCAGTAATTTTTGCATACTCTGATTTATATTTAAATTACGAAACTGATTAATTGTTTATATTTCTTCAACACAACGTCCTATTGTCGTATAATTTAGAATTCATAGATTTTACAAAACATCTATTTTTCATGATATGCTTGACTTCACCCTCAAATACTTTTTAGAACCTTCAAATTCAGAATGTTAGATTTTATTCAGATACTTATAGGTACTCTCTAGAAATTGATCAAATCTGAGGGCATGTTGAAGGGGTCTCTCCTCCCCCGTTTAAAATTAGAATACATATTTTTTTTTGTTCCGTTTAGCTTTTTAAACGACCACATCCACAAAAAAAATTAAGTCGATCTTTAATGGATTCAATTGGCATAGAACGAAGTTTATTTTTTAATCATGTTAATAGTCTACGACCATCAAGAATGCCTATTAAGGGTAATGATGAAAATCTTTAACAAATGAATTCTATTTATATAATCTTTTTTAATTTTAAGAATTAAAATCTGCAGTTGGGATTATTTTTCCAACAGAAAAATCCTTAATCGCACTTGAACAATGTAAAGCAATTATACCACCAAATTATACACGTTGTATACAAGTAAATAAATTTAATTCTTTGTAATATTACAATTTATAATCATTACTTTTTTTTTTCCTTTCAGTATGGATTTCCTGATGAAAGTTTACGAATTATGTCTGTTGATTCTGATAAAGTAAATAAATAAATAAAAAAGAAAATTTTCAAAATTTTTCTATTTTTTTCTGTCTTCAGAGTTCAATGATTTATGAATTAGTACAAGATGGAAAAATTACAAATGTTTTATGTCCAACATCACAATATGTTATAACAGCAGGTACTAATACATTAATTAATGTATGGGAAATTGGTAAAGGTCGTCATAAACGTTTACATCTTAAAACTCGTCTTACTGGTCATAATGATACAATAACATATTTAACAGCATCACAAGCATATCGAATATTAATATCTGGTTCTGATGATCAAACATGTATTGTTTGGGATTTAAATCGTTTACATTTTATTCGACAATTACCAAATCATGCGGGACCAATATCATGTATATGTGTTAATGAATTAACAGTAAGTAAATTTTTAAAGAATATCTTTTTATTTGATGAATTTGAAAAAAAAACTTTTTTCTAAGGGTGATATTGCAAGTGCAGCTGGAAGTTATCTTTATGTATGGACTATAAATGGACAATTACTTGCATCAATTAATACAATGGCTTATAGTAGACAACAATCTATACTTTGTATTGCTATATCTCAAGTAAATAAGTTTTTGTAGAAAATATTGAAAAAAAAAACAAAATTATTTTTGTTTTTTTATTAGATGAATGAATGGGATGATGAAAATGTGATTATAACTGGTAGTTCAGATGGTGTTGTTCGTGTAAGTTTATTTTAAAATATAATTTATATTTATTTGTTTAGATAATTTTTTGTTGTCGATATAAAATTATAAATTTTTCTAGATGTGGACTATTGGCTATGATCAAGTACTTGATCGACCACCACCATCATCACCTTCAATGTTAACAATAGGTGAAGATCGAACTCGTTTACCATCAATATCTCAACCAACACCAATAAAATTACATTCAACTAGAGGTCAAATATCAATTGATAGTGATGCTGAATCCGATGAAGGAGAAGGAAAAACGCATGTAACACGTATTCAAACATGTTTGTCGTCACAAGGTGATCGATCATTTGATGATGATGCAGATTTAAATACAAATAAAGATACACTTGATGTACCATCTGTACCATCATTAAATAGTCCAACTGGTAGTGATAAATTTATTGTTGTTACAGATGTTGAAATACTTGAAGCAAAAACTAGTAGTAATAATAATGAAACTCATATAAAATCAACTTATCTTGATTTAAAAGAAGGTTAGATAAAAATCAAAAAACAAAATACATGTATTAAATTGTTTTGTATTTGTTTTTTCTTTTAAGGTTTTAAATGGGACCGTCGAATAAATTATCGTGGTAAATTAACAATGCATACAGCTTATGAACGAAAAGAAAATTCAAGTCCAGCAGCTGTTACAGCAATTGGTATTTCAAAGTGTGTATAATTTGATTAAAAAAAGAAAGACTCAATTTATTTTTATTCTATAGAGATCATAAAACTTTGTTTGTGGGTGATGCACGTGGTCGAATATTTAGTTGGACTGTTAGTGATAATCCAGGTCGAACAAATGCTGATCATTGGATTAAAGATGAAACAGTAGATGCATGTAAAGATTGTTCAATTCGATTTTCATTTGCTGAACGAAGACATCATTGCAGGTATGAATAGATTACTTGAATATGTATGAAAGACGACTAGATACTTTTGGCTATAGAACCAGACGTATGTAAGCTTATAGAGTATGTCGTTCTCTAAAAGTCTACATTTATATTCCTTTTTCTAGTTAAGAAGTCATTGAAAAAATTCTTCTTGTCTTTCTTATGATTTTAAAAATTTTACATTATTTTATTTTTATTTCTAGAAATTGTGGACAATTATTCTGTGCTAGGTAATGTTATGTTTTTCTTTTCGCACGATTTCATTATTCGATTTTATTTATTATTTAGATGTAGTCGTTTTGAAACCGATATACCTCGTATGAAAATATATAAAAATGTACGTGTTTGCCGTCAATGTTATTTATCAATTAAAGAACAAAAATCATTAACTACAAATAACACTTGAACAAAATAGAGATGACTGAAAAATTCGATTTATTTTCTATTTAGTATTGTCTTAGAGAAAAGAAAAAGAAACTCACAAACATAAATCAATGCAATTTATATATTTATCCGTTTTTTTTTAAAATGTATGTCCTGTTTAATCGAAGAAAAATTTTATTCTCTATACATTTACTGTGCAATATAACGAAACGCTCTAAGCAAATAACTTCTTCAACAACAGTGATCTAGTTAAATTCTTCTTATTTTTTCTTTCTTTCTCACTTGTACATTTAAAAATTATCCATATTCGTCTTCTTTATTTTGCGTTTGTCTATTTGTTTGTTTTCATTAGCTACAACGAAATCTTCGTTTACATTCATTCTATTTATCTTAATTTATTCTTACATTCCGTGTTAGGATGTGCCGTTGCAAAATACTATCTATCCAAATCATCTTATCACTGCCTTATTCTTCCTTTTTCTTTGCGCTTTCCGCCTATAATAATTTTTTTGTCATTTTTCCAGAACAAAAAACCAAAAACACAAATAATCGTAACAATAACAACTTTATCTATTAACTTCCATGTTTTGTTTTGTGTCACATTATTATATAAAAGTTTATTTCTTTGATTATAAAACATAAGAATACTCTGCTCAAATCAATTTCTTGAATTTATGTATGCAAAAAAAGACGAAAAAAAACAATGAATTGTCTATAACGAAATCCATTAGAGGAAAACGCTAACAATAAATAAAATATCGATCGATCAGTCTACTATCCAAATACTTATAGATGCTCGTTTTGATGTATTTTGAATTAAGATTTATATCATAATTTGAGGTCACGCCTAACAAACGACATGATCGAGTTTTTTTTGTTGACGTTTATATCATGGTCAAGGTGATCACAGCTCGTAGCCATGAATGTGATTGATGACATTTGTTTTTTTAGTTGTTACGATTTTTTTCAAACTATGTATATGCTTGATGAATGTCAAATATCGATTGATTCTTAGAAATAACGAGAATGTATTGCAGCGAAAACCAAGTAATCTAAGATTTGTAATGTTAAATCACAAGTTTGTCTCATCAAGTGAAAAATGAACAACTTTGTCCCTTTGCGCGGGATTTCTTAGTTCTATAAGCTATAACTTTCGAAGTAAACTTATATTCAGATTAGTTTTTCCTCTGATCAACAGAAAGATTCATTTTCTTGCATTTTCAATAGTTTTGTGTCCATCAAAGACAAAATTAACCTCTATTTTTGCCGCATACTTATAATCCTCGAAGGTGAGTTTCTATTCTCTGGGATCGAATAGAGGACAGGATGAACTCATTTTCAGATAACCAAGAGGTTTTAGTGTTGATGACTGTCCATAAATCACGTCGATCACACTGGTTTTGAGTGACGACAGTAAGATTAATTACAAGGATTTCAAGTTACTCTTTTATAGTGACTTTCACTGAAACTAGATCTGGCTATGAGCTGAAGGTGGCAACCTGATGGATGACGCAGTAATCTTTTTCTCAGAAAAGCGTCTTTGGATTAATATGGTTCAAAAGTGATACACTAATTTTATTGTTTATTTCTTGTTTTTTTTTGTATGTACTTTGTTGCCTTTTGCCGTTTATATTCGCTTTATGTCTCTGTGTGTCCTTATCCTTTTAAAATTTATTTATATATTGTTTTTCTTTTCAGTCTTGCACTTACTTCCAATCTTGTGGTTATTCTTCGCCTAAACTGAGCCTACCAGTATTTGCAATCTGTCTGTCTCTAGTCTCTAATCATAGAACACCAGATCATTCTAGGATATTTAATAAATCATGAAGATTTGGGGAGTGAGCAAACAGTCAAGGTAAAAATGTGATTATAAAAACAGAATATTTTAATTAATCCTTTGGGAAACTTCAAGTATACAAAAAATGGAATTATTAGAATGGTTTTTCCCCAATATACATTTTACAAAATGAAGACGTTATTGAATAATCCTAAATTAACTTATCAAGCAACTAGACTTACTTCTAAATACTATTCGAGTCTTGTACCGTAAACAACAAATAAGAAAACTCTTCAGAAAACTTGTTTTGTATGTACACAGACACTAGTTAATGGCCTAGAAAGAGAGTTGATTCGTGCTATACGGTATAGATTGTAATATAAGTGTTTGTATTGTTAGTTGTTTGAAGACATTCCATACTTGACTATATTTTTAGTTTTATGCATTAACTTCATTCTCATATGTTATTGAATCGTTCTTTTATTATATTTGAATGTATGTTTTGGTTTTGTTGTTTCAGTATAGACATTGTGAATCTTTTGCAATGAATCTGGATGAAAAAATCATGATTATTAAGTTTCAACTATAATTGAGTTTTGAAGTGAAACCTCAACTTTTTTCTGTAAACAGAAGGTGGGTCCTCAAAGGATTAAACTGGACCCGATAGGACAACGGCTAAGATGTCAGCAACGAACGAGTTGACAAAAAATCTGCTTTTCTAATTGACTCCAATATCTTATAGAAACTCATGGATTGATTTTCAAACAACATGATTTAACCCATGAATTCATGAACCTAATATCTAAAAGATGTTATCTCTTTATCCGTCCATCACATTACGAATCGAATCCGAATTTTTATTCACTAGGTGAAGAATATCAGGCCGATGACATCTCCGGTTCAAACCACAACAATATAGTAAAAACAAAATCGATGCTAATTACACTTATTCGCTTGTTCATCTACATGCAACATCCATTTTTCTGAAATAAAAACTAGTCGATCTGCTATTCAATAGCCGCGATGAATATCTTCGCATTATTTTGCATATTTCACTAAGACTGTGTTGATTGAGAACGAGAAGCAAACAACATATTTCTGTTTCAAGTCAAATCAACAGAAAATAAAAAACGGAAAAGATTAGAAGACAACATGATGCAACAAATAGTACAGTTGCAATTCTAGTACTGTATCATTGGTAAACAAAGGTGAAGGTAGATGAAGCGAAGTCACAAACATCCACTCGCACTTGTACTCATCCCAATATCCTCATGTCCAGTGCCAGAAGTGTCAATTTAGGACAAGTCTATACCATCAAAAAGATATGTTGAACGTAGTCGTTATTGTCGTAGAGAATAGGTAAAATGTTGCGCTCCTTGATCAATAATTGGTTTCGAATAGAGTTTTAGCGTGGTTCGTGTCTGTCTCAAACAGGCAGTGAAAGATAAATAGAGAAGGTTGACATATTACCTGGTTTTGTTCGAGATTTTTCGCAAGATGTTTTGCTCATTGATCATCGATATGATTCGAATAGAGACTCGCTGTGGTTAGTCTCTATATTTTGAAACAAACGAGTTGAAATGACGAAAGTGCTCCATAAGGGATATAGTGATGCGACCTATAGATGATAGCTATTGTTTCTATCTGAAAATCATTGTTGTAGTTGATCAAAATTGACATGTTTTTTTTTTGTTGTTTCAAAAAGAAAGCACTTGGTAATGTCACCAAGTAGGTACACTTTTATAATACACGTAAATTATTTTCAAATTATTGTGGGACCCGTGACATGGATTTTGGAACTTGTGAAAGAATGCTGACGTCGAGTATCGGTGAAAAAATTCTAAAGTAATAATTCCTTATGCTCGTCAGCTTTCGATATAGAAAACGAAAGTTCCCTATCAATCACAAGAGCTCTTCATGTTCTCCCGATCCATAGTTTCTTTCACTTCATCATTTTTCTCTTAATCGTTGCATATAGCTATCTATGTTACTTTAGAGTTGATGTTCAATAAAGAAAGTGCTCATATATCATTCTACATCAGCAACGCAAGAATGTTGTAAAGACACTCTTGCTCGAAATGATCGATGCTAACAGTGTTTTTGTTACATCAATTTCATTGATACATATTACATAAAAGAATAATAAAAATGTTTAGTAGAATTTTGTTTCGTTTAAGTGAGTTTATAATACATAGATTTCTGTCGTAAATTTCTACTGCTTTTACAATTACTTGTTTGCACAAAGTAATGCAAAGCAATCATACATTGTGAAAACGTCATGACAAAACCTACAGTATTGCGTTTTGTTAAATTTTATTTGCCGCATTGTAAAAGATGAATATACGTTACCTTGGAATTTCTTTTTCTTTCTTCTTGTGCAAATTTTGACTGAGATTTGCTAGAATAGTTATTCACATAAGATTGCTTATATATATATATTGTTGCATATGTAGTTCATTATCTAATGACCTATTAGCTCGAAATAATATAACCAAATCCCAAGCGAGGAATTGTAAACAGAACCACTTCTAAGGTTTTATCATTATGATTCTTTAGACAAGTTCTTACATGCCATGTACTTATCGTTTATCTAGTCTGTTATAATGCTCTATTATAAAAGTGTCCGCTATCTATAGTAAGGTACTGAGTAATGATATATAATCAATACTTTTGCTAAAGTTCGTTTAATAACATCGAGTAATTCACGAAAGAATAGCTGTGCAAGCTTTCTCGTCGGTATCATATTGTTGTTTTAGCTTCATATTATTTGGAATTCTTTTTGCATTATAGTTTTGGATCCTAGCAATGTTTTTGGACTCCTTCATATCTCAGTCAATAGCTTTTTTTGACTACTATAAAACGCTGTAACGCGCAATTCCTAAAAATATCTGATTGCCTACCTTCATCGGCGTTATTTTGGGTGAATTTTTGAGTAAACGAATATAACATGTAGATTTTCAAATACTATTGATGCACTGTGCTTTCGTTAAATGAAAGAGATTACTGTACTTCTTTCTTAACCTCTCATGAATTTATTTTTTCTAGTCTTATGTTTATCTGTTTTTTCTCAGCTCATATCGAACCATATCGTGTACAAATGAACCGACTGCGCCAGTTCCGTACAACTGCTCACGCCTATACGAGTATCTGTCAGAGCTTTCTGAAGCGTTTCCTATGTCATTAAAATTCTTGACGAATACTACAAAAAAAACATGGAAGACACTATATTAGATCATGCAAAATTTTTTGATAGAACAAAATAAGACAGAAGAGCGCAACGTAGTTACACGTGAATAACATCGTATACTGCCACGTCAATCTCTCGTACTCAAGCGACTGTACACGATACGCTAGGATACCAAACAACACATTGTCACTAAAAGTGATTGGGTGCAGAGGTCCAACCAGGCCGCATTTTTGCAGGCCTGGCCGGCCTATGACAGGCCTCTGAATTCCAAGCCTGCCTGTGCCTGCCAACTTATTTGTTTGGCCTGGTCTGCCTGCCTGGCATTTTCTTCGGCCTGCCTGGCGTGCGTGGAAAGGCCTGTCTATTTTTCTTTTATGCCAATACCATTACCAGGGGTGTCGCAAGCAACCAAAACTTGGGGACGGGGGTAGTAACTTATAAAATCCTATTTCCAAAAATGTTGGGTGAGTAGCTAGTGTTGCCAGGTCTTCCGGATTTGAAAGTTTTTTCGAGATTTTTGTGGGATTCTTTCTGGATTTTCAGAATTTTTTCTAAATTTTTTGGATTCTTTGACGATTGTGCGCTTTTTCAGGATTTTTTCAAGTATTTCTCTGGATTTGTCGGAATTTTTTCGAAATTTTTGGGTTTTTCAAGGATTTATCAAGACTTTTTTGGGATTTCTTCTAGGTTTTTCTGGATTTTTTGAGATTTTTGCAGGATTCTTTCGAGATTTTTCTGAGTTTTACAGGATTTTGAGATTTAAATTCTGGATTCACGAGTTTGACATCTGACAACACTGAGGTTAACTTATACAATCGTGCTTTACATAGGATAAGTTTCATTTTGTGAAATACAATGCAAGACAATTTTTCGAATATTGTGAGGATGGGTGTCACGCGCACGCCTTGATCATCACGATGATAGAATAGAAACATATAGTTTGTTTTACTTTTGAACGAGGTGAAGGATCATCAATAGAGACGGAAGATGAAAGATCAATATCACCCATTTCACGAAGAAAGACAATTGAAATGCTAACACATAAGTTTAACAAAAACAATAAAGACTTTTACAGTCAATAATAAATATCTCAACAATAATCGATAAGAAAGATTTTAACAACAATCAATAATAAAAAAATATAGAGAAATGAGAACATGAAGAGTGAATAGATAAAGAAGAGGAACTCTACGATTTGAATTGAACATTAGTCATCCCCTCGATCAATCACCATGAAAGCAGAACATTATTCTATACTTCTCCCGATCGCTAGCATTACCCTCAATTTGTTTAAAAAAATGTATATTGAAAAAAAGCTATATTTATAAAGAATATAGACAGGCCAGGCGGCCTGGCGTTTTAAGCGGCCTGCCTGGCCTGGCTGAGGGGTCGGCCTGGCCTGCCTGTCATAGGCCAGGCCTAAAAACGTGGCCTGTGCCTGTGACAGGCAGGCAGGCCCAGGCAGGCAGGTCTAGTGGCCTGGTTGGACCTCTGATTGGGTGTGCATCACTGCATTGATAGTGTAACGCTTGTCCGTGCATTACAAATTTGCATATTTAACATAGTTTATGGTGTGGAGATGGTACAAGCTCAGTCGGCTTACGAATTCTATACTCTATATCTGCTTCCGAGCAAGCATCAGAAACTCATACAGCTAAAGAACTGTATCTACACTGTTTATTACGATAAAGTTGATGTGCTTTCACGTTTACCGACTGGCGATGAGCCGTAAACGTGATCCGTCTTGAGCAGTCTAAAGATGAGTAAAGACTTACAATATCAGAGTGTCATAGCATGAAGACAATGTAGATACGAGTACATAGAATATCTTTTTGAATAATGCTCTCTGAAATGGAGAAAGAAACAAATGACTTAAGAATTTCAACGGTTTTAAAGCCACATGAAATATTCTCACTGTTATGAAATCTATTAAGCATAATTGATATAGTGAATTAGTCACTCATGAAGCTCATACTAATACCAAAAGAGAACTTTAAATATCTGTAGTTCTTATTAGATATCATCTCCTGCCGTCAAACATCGATTCTTTTTTAATGCAAAAGTTTCTTAAAAATATAAACAACTCTTTAGATACAGGCATTCATATTAGAAGACTTTGTATTTAGTTGAACGTAGTAAGATGCTCAAAGTTGTTCAATTGATTAAATGATTAAATCATTTATTGGTATTATCATCTATCAGAAGATCTACAATTTCAGCTTGAAGTTTATTTTTCACGTCTTGTTTATCATCAACTTGTTCTCAAGGTTATTCTACATCAGCCATTAAGTTGTTTTTATCGATGCAAATACTTACTGGAGGAGATCTCCAATATCTGATAGAATATTCATAGTTGACCGATAGTTGAAGAAAATTTGCCAATTTTAAAAATAATACTACTCGAAATTGTGAATTGCAGCGTTTTTTGAATGTGCCAATCATTTTAGAAAATGAAATAATAAGCTGTGACATGTTTATCATGGTTTTTTTTTATTTGATCACCTAATGCCAGCGATATTTCAAAAAAAATGTAAACAATCAAAGTCTGACTGCCAATAAAGAAAGATTTGTTTCATAAAATAATATTTTCAATCAAAATCGTTTTATTTTCTATATATGAAAGTTTTAACATTGGTAACTTTGACAAAGAAAAAAACAAAAAAATCTTTTTCATGGCATCCAAATACAATTTTTAATCTTCACATACTTATATGTCAAGCCAGAATATATTTATATTGGACAGAACTTATGAAATGAAACAGATCATTCTCAATAATAAACTTGATTTTCGTCATAAATGACGTTTCTACTAACTATCTGTACATACTGCGAAACAAAAAAAATAGCAACCTCTTATATGAATAAATGTGAATGTATACAGATTTGAATGACAAAAAAGTTGCAATTAAATAGAACACTTATTCACAAAAAAAAATAGAATATCCTAAGCATCCATGAAAAGAAGAATAGAATGATTGAGTGCATTTGTTTTCTTCCATTAATATCTAAATCCTTGTTAGACATTCATCCTTTGTTCATTTTCATTTGCTTCTTTACATGGCTCTTAAATGAAAGAAGAAAAAGAAAAGCAAAACATTATTTTAAAATAAAAAATTCAGACAAAATAAATTTTACCATCGACTATTAATGGAACAGAATTTTTAACTATTCGATCAATTGATTCATTATTTCCAAAGATCTTTTTTAAAACTTGACAACTATTAGATGAACAATTATCTAAATAAATATTGGAAACATATATATAATTATGAGATGATTTTTTTTCTTCTTCTTTATAACCTGATGTATCATTCAATGATGTTGTTCCATCAACTAAAACACAATCTCTTAACTCAACAGGTAAGCCACATGGATCAGTAAGAAAATCGGTAACAAATATTTCAAAATTTTTAGTTACAATAGATGACGAGCGATTTGAATTATCTATTTTATTTGATGAATTGCTTTTATTTGTTTCATTTGCACGAGATTTACATTTTCGTTGTTGCTTTTTTTTTGTGCCACGCATTTTTTTCATTTGATCTCAAAAATAAAACAACAAAAAAAAACAACAAACAACAATCTAACTACTTTGTCTGCAACTAATAAACAATGAGTGTCGCTAATATATTCCTCCCCAAACAAATATATTGTCGAATCGAAATCTATTTCTTGATGACTCATTTCATTCACGAGATATAATTATATTTATTCATAGTCGTTGTTTCTATAGACAAATCTATAAAATCAATTAAGTTGCAAAATTAAAAAAAAAAGAAGAATGACAAAAGATAAAAAACATAGTACAAATAATACAAGCCAACAAGATGAAACTATGGATATAAGTACAGCAAATGCAGGTGAAAATGGAACAATAAATGAAGCAGAAAATGCAGGTCCAACTTATGAAGAAAAATTTAAATATATGAATGCTATGGCATCACCTGTTGCACCTAGAAAATTAGCAAAAAAAATATTTAAATGTGTTAAACAAGCTACTAAACAAAAAAATTATATTCGATTAGGTTTACGTGAAGCACAAAAATATATTCGTCGTGGAGAAAAAGGTCTTGTTGTATTTGCTGGTAATGTAACACCAATTGATATTTATAGTCATATGCCAGTTGTTTGTGGTAATTATTCTATTTAAGAAATAAATTTTAATAAAGATTTTCTATGTGTTGTATTTTTCTAATTTGAGAAGAAGCAAATATTCCATATGTATTTGTACCATCAAAAGAAGACTTAGGTAGTGTAATTCGTGCCAATCGAACATGTTGTTTATTGATGATCCGTTCTCATCCTGAATATAAAGAATTATTTGATGAAATTGTTGATAAAATCAGTAAACTTGAACCAGCATTTGCCAAAACTGATTAATGAACAATGAAAAAAAAAAACAAAAAAAAATTGTCTTTTCTTTTGTTACTGTTATTATTGTTAAAATGTCACGAAGCAAAAAAAACAAGAAAAATAAGAATGTTTTCGTGTAGGACATTCCTTTGATCACTTTTGACGTGTATCATGTCTGTTTCAGATAAATTCCGTCCTGATTATCTCCCACCATTAATATTTATTTTCTTTTTTCATGAATGGGCGTGTGCATTCGATCAACTAAATTCAATATTTCGTAAGTCATATGAATATTTTTCACATTGTTATTATGTTTATTTTTTCAACAATTATATTTAGAGCAATATTTACCATCAGTTTATTCTTATGTATTCATATTCGATCAATTACTTCTACTGATCCAGTCGAACCAAATTATATTCTTGACGAAATAATAGTTTTTATTTATGAAAAAAAAATAATTCTTTTTTTGACTTATTTGTATTTGATAGACTGATGAGAACAATCAGACTGGTGCTATTAATGAACATATTTCACAATTAAATAGTGATGTTTTATCAGATTCAGTAAACATATATTAATTATATAAATAGATAATTCATAATTGTTTATTTTAGAATTCTGAAACGAAATTACCTGAGCTTGTATCAATAGTAACAAATGATGAGTCGACGATGTAAATAATAATTGTTGTTATTTTAAATCTATGACTTGATCATTTTTTATAGATCAACAGAAAATAAATCAGATATTAATGATGAAGTTCCTCGACCGGCAGCTTCGTGTGTTATTAATTAAATGAAATAAATTTTGTACTGTTATTTTTATTTTCAGTTCACAAGTGCTAGACAATCAAACAACGGATGATCAACAACAAGCAACTTCATCTTCACCTAAAAGTAATCGATCAAGTATTAATTCATTTGAAGAATGGAAACAACAACAACTTCAAGCTGATTTGTTAAGTTAGTTGATTTGTTTGTTTTAATAAAATCAATTTAAATAATATCTGTTTTATATATATATAGAAAAAGACGAAACTGCTAATCATAATAATGTACAATCTGAGACAACTTCAACAGGTGCATCAAAAGGAACTTCATCACCGACAAATATTCCACAAATGACATCTACACCAAGTTCATCAAAAAAGGGCAAACTTCGTAAAAATTTTGCTAGTGCATCATGTGGTGCAAAAATTCTTGCACATAATGTTGAAGCACAAAATGTTCCATCGATTTTATCTTCATCACCTGATGAATATATGCTTAATCCATGTAATGCAAAAATTTGGTAAGAATATCATTTGTACTAGTAAATTAATTTCTTTCGAATGTTTCTGTAGGTTTGTTATTGAACTTTGTGAATCAATTCGTATTCTAAATATTGAAATTGCCAATTTTGAACTTTTTTCAAGTGTTCCAAAAACATTCCGAGTTTCGTCGTCAGACAGGTAAATAAACTTTTCTCAAAAGTGAATGAACTATGTTGAAACGAGAACTTAATAAAAATATTAAGAAACATTTGAAAACTTTCTACTATTATTAAAATAAATTGTTTTTACACTAGATAAGTTAACAGAAAAAATACCATATTTTAATAGTTTATCTAAATAAGAGAAACGCTATTATCCTTAGAAGACAAAAACTGTTCAAGATTCGATAAGTCTTTTTTTTTCTAAAATTCAATGTCTTAAATATTTAAGATATCCTACAAAAGATTGGCATCGCCATCATTTGGGTACATTTAATGCATCATTTAATCGTACAATACAAAGTTTTCAAACAATGGAATCTACAATTTATGTTAAATATATTAAATTTGAATTATTAGATTTTCATGGACACGAACATTATTGTCCATTAAGTGTTGTGCGTGTACATGGATCGAATGTTGAAGACGAAATAATGACAATGGAAGAAAATACAAATTTAATTGATTCAAAAACTTTATTAAATACTCAAGATGAGAATGAAGATGACGATGATGATGATAATAATTTATCAAATGATCAACAAGTTGGTGGTATTATTGGTTCAGCTATACTTGATTTAGCAAAAAGAGTTTTTCGTCGACCAACTACACGTGGTACACCATCAACAACATTAATACCAATAACAGAAGCAAATGTATTAAAAACTGATTGCCATCAATCAGTTTTAAATGGTTCAATAATTAATGAGAGTATTAATTCATGGAGTCAAAGTGATACATTTAAACAATGTATTGCTGCATTTCTTCGTGGTATATGGTCAAAATTTGATGCATGTACAATGTATTTATCACACACTTGTTTTAAATTAAATTATTGTTGTCAATGTCTATCAATGATAAATAATAATACTAATAGAAATAATCAAATAACATCAACATTAAATTTATATATCAATCCATGTGGATATTATTATATTATAACCAATCAATTTGTATGTAAAAAAGAAAAATTCATTGAATTAAATGAAACAATATCAATGAATGCAAATCTTGAATCAAATCCGAATATTATTGAAAAAAATCTAACTATTTCTACTAATGATACTGTCATGATTACTGATGAAAGTAAGAGATTCATCTTAACTTAATTCATCAAATACATTTTCATGCCGATATCAGATTAGTTACTAGATTTTTCTTATCCTGTGAAGATAAATGCAGTAACAGACATAGACGAAGTTGTCTCACGCTTCAGCACACATCTATGTATTGTGGCAATACATTAGCTTCTATGACAATCTTATTTTTTATTATTTAAATACTTATAACATTCGGTCTGCGCTGAAAATCAAAGATAGTTAAATAAACGAAAAAAGAAATAGTCTTTCTGCTCCGCTACAGGCGCAGTGATGTTCATTTGGTGAATGTTCCGTGTGCTTGTCAATGGGTTCTTTGTTTTTCGTTATTCGAAGACGCAATCTCGCACTTCATCCATCGCAGAAGGTAGATTTATTTGAATTTACGTATTTTGTTCGTTAGCCATACATGTTTAATGCCTTAGCAGCAGATGAATAACCTAAAAATATGACCTCATGCCTACTGACAGCTGTGATAAGATAGTATACGTTTAAGAATCACAAGTATATGAATGATAGAGGTTTGCGTCGATCCGTAATATGATTCTTTTCGATCATCCAATTAATATATTATTGTAATATCTATCCTAGGTCCAAATTTATCTAATAATAAATCTATATTAAAATTTAACAATACTTTATCGAACGAAACTCACACTGATCAAAAACTTGATCGTTCCAATGAACAAAATTTTTCGAGTAATATTTCAAACGAAGCATTTACGGTGCCAGAATCACAAATATCATCGAATATAACAAACCAAAATTCTTCGCAATCATCTACTGTCGAAACAATTAATATTGATGCTAATTTAACCGAACAATCAATTGATACTAATAACATTGATGAGGTCTTTACTGTAACACCACCAATACCTTCATCATCGTCTACAATAAATAATAATAATAATGAACCAATACCACCTATTATTTCTAGTCCATGGCTTAAAGGTATGCTAGTTAATACAAAGTCATTACCAGAATTATTTAAAATAATTGAAAAACTTAATTTTAATTTAACATTAAGTAATCGATATTTACAAGAACTTAGCCAACATTATGTGTATGTCTTTAATAATAAATAATGTTTTTCTTTTTTTCTACAAAATTTTATTTCTATAGAAAAAAACTTGATGAAACTCAACAAACAACTGATCTTCTTCTAAAATCATCTCAAGCAGCTGATGAACAAGTAATTTATTATTATTATTATTTTGATTATTATTGAATATTTGCTTTTTCTTAATATATATTTTTAGTTAAAAAATTTAGAAGAATATTTAAATCGATTAGAAGAAAATTTCAATCAAACGTCATTTCGTTTAATAAAACTTGAAGCATGGATTCCATTAATTATTTTTATAATACTCTGTTTATCTATTTGGTGTCTTTGGTCAACATGTAGTTTATTTCAATTACGACGGAAATTAAAGCATATTATTAATCAATATGAAAAACTCTATAATAGTTCGTTTTCTTTTTGTTTTTTTTTAATTATTAAATTGGTTTCTTTTTGTTTTAGTTAAACAAATCGAAAATAATGATGATGATGACGATGATGATACTATGAATAATATTTCACTTATTTGTAACGGTATAAAAAAACGAAAGTTATCAACTGACTCAAATGATTCAAATCCTAATCGTTCTCAACGTGTACCTGATTTAACATTATCTAAGATAAAAGAAAATGGTACTACTAAAATTGAACATAAAATAAAAAGAAAACCATCAAATCAAAGTCAACATTCATATTCATTAAGTAGAATGAAAACTTAAATTGAAATTATCTTTTATTTATTCTTATCTTCTTGTGCATCATTATTTGTATATATCTATTTATGCATAATGTTAGAATAATCGTCTATTTATTAAACCCTTAACATATATATTTATGTACTTCATTCATATCACATCAACTTGTTGCGTTTTGTTGGTTATTATTTGCCAACGAAGTTTCTTTTTGCAAAAAAACCAAAGAGAACACAGTTTTTATTTTTGTTTGTTGATCTGGAGTTTTTGCTATTTTTTTTCTTGTCTGTATATAAATGTTATTTTTTTTTTCGGAAAACAATTGAATCTGGTGATTGATAGCAAATAAAATATCATTATATGATAAACCATTGTATTGAAATATACAGGAGATAAAAATATAATTCGGCTTGTCCACGCAACGCGTCACTTCAGGCGTTAAGTATTTATTTCAAAATTCGAAATAAATGTTTCTGTAACGTTGTGAAGCAAACACAAAAGTGTAAGAAAACGTGTTTTGTTATTCGAAAAATCATATCTGTGAGTCTTTAAAAATGTATGTAGTAAGCAATCATTGGTATACATTGTCCATTGCAATATTTTCTATCTTACTTTGAAACTTATCGTGCACCTTAATGTCAAGCACCAAAACCTCGCTATCAAATATTTTGTGAATTATCAAGTTTCGGTGAGCCCATCTTGAGATAGATAAACGTGACACTGCTATCAAAACCTGATTTGTGGTACTTTTTTCAGTTTATATAATTGAGCAATAATTTCTGTATTACAAACGTCAGATAGCAACTGCTTATAATTCAAACCTGATTTTGACCTTTGGTTTTCTTATCAAGCGATGAATCTTTCCAATAAAACTCTTTCCCAGCTAAAAGAAGGTCGAGTCTTCGTTCACAGCTGGAGAAAAACTAGTATTTCAGATAGCATGCATTAAAATTCTAGTGACGGCCCACATGCGCTTGACAATACAAGATTTCAAATTCAAATCGTTCGTTTGCTTTTTCATTATTTATAAATATAAATATTTTTTCATTCATCATTGATGCATTATGAAGTTAATTTAAAAAATAAGAAAACCAATCTCAATAATGATTGATTATATATAGATAGTTTATCTTATTTCCAATATGAAAATAATTGTCGTAATATTCAATCTGCAATCAATATTTCAATAATCAATAAATTTCATAATTAATTTATTTGATTTTTAAATGCTTGTCATTCTATACTACATTAGTTTTAATAACAAGTTGAATCAATTGTATTCTTCTAACCACCAATGCAAATTAATTAAAAAAATCTGTTTATACAGAAATAAAAATAAAAATAAAAGGTTTGATTAAAAACAAAAGAATTATTTATTCATCGTCATTATCATAGAATAGTATAAAAACATGTAGGGGAAGTTAGCAGCAAATTCGAGTTTTTCGCAAAACGATTCGTCCCACTGAGTGAGCCACACCAGAGACGCAGTGAGCCAGAAGCAGCTCGACGAGCTCTATCGATCGCTGTATGTTCCATTTGAAGAAAAATAAAATTTTGGTTATTAAGGTTTCCGAAAAACTTCCAGAAGGGATTCGCATCGTGTCACCTTCGATGATCTATTGTAGCTGTTGACCCATTTTAGGGAAACATAGTTAAATTGATGCGATGTTCGAAGCTCTGTCGAATGATGTATGTGTGAACATAGTTTTGATATATGTTCATAGACAAGAATAGGGTGTGGGTGCATGTACAGGTAAAGAAAAGACCCACACCTTCTTAATATTATCCCTTATTTTTTTCTCGACACTCTGAAATATTATTTAATAATTTGCTTTTGTATTTTGAAAATTGAATAAATATGAAATTTAGCGATATTGGACTCAAGTGAACTTTGATTAATGGCTGTGTATCTTTTTAAGTATAGATCTTCTAATTTTTATTCTTTTATCATTTTGTAGCGGCAACATTTTTGTATCAGAAAAGTCGAACTTTTTTTTGTGAGACTTTTCATAAAAATGAAATTTGGGTCCAAAGATAGGAGGATGAGTTGAGAAAAATGTTCTTTTTTTTAATGTTTCATTATTTTGGATGATAATCGGTCAAATCAATTTAGGGTGTGGGTGTGGGTGTGGGTGTGGGGTGTGGGTGTGGGTGAGGGTGTGGGTGTGTGTGGGTGTGTGTGTGGGTGTGGGGTGTGGGTGTGGGTGTGTGTGGGTGTGGGGTGTGGGTGTGGGTGAGGGTGTGGGTGAGGGTGTGGGTGTGTGTGGGTGTGTGTGTGTGTGTGTGGGGTGTGGGGTGTGGGTGTGGGTGAGGGTGTGGGTGGGTGTGGGTGTGTGTGAGGGTATGGGTGTGTGTGGGTGTGGATCTTCTCTTCAGTATCACCCAGACCCAGACCCACACCCATATCCCACACCCACACTCCACCCACACCCACCCCTCAAGAGGTCGGAATTCACGGAATTTGGACATTGCTGAATCTGGAATTTCGAAATGAGAAACTCGAAAAATCAATATATTGCTAGTAATGTTTTGAGTTTATGTTTTGAAAGACTTGTGGAGCTCACATATTTTTCGAAGAAAATAGTGAGTGTAAGTTTAAGTGTCAGGTTTTTGCGGCTCCCCTCCCCCTCTCCCCATTACAGACGCTAGCTAGCAACAAAACAAATTTCAACAATAACAATAGTATCGTTTCGACTGTTTTACAAAAGTCTAAAATGTCCCAATGTCTTTCTTGAAACTTGAATTGTTGGAGTGAGTTTCTGAATGGTTTAAATAGTGGATTTTTTCATTTGGTGCAACGAAGCATTTATATTTGTAATACCAATGATAACGAGTTATGGATCGATGGGTCACAGTTGTTGTACGATTAATATTAAAAGTGTGAATTGATCAAATTATAATTTTCTGACATAGTCCATATAAACGTTCGTAAATTAATAGAGATATATAATAGTGCGTTAAGATCCGCTGCTATAGACTTGGTGCATATATGTACAATAGGTTCATTTACCATTGATATCAATGTTTAGAATAGTAATGTAAAATTAGGAAAAACAAAAGACGAAAATAAAAAATAGTTAGCGGGTGGCAACAATGCAAAAAGAATAGGGCGCCCGTTAAGAAGAAATCTGTTTTTGTTTGAAATACAGAAATAAACAAAAGGCATTTTTTCTGATGATCCGCTAATTTGAACTATTATAATCTACGAGAGACTTTTCACTTGCAGTATTTTGTATTAGTTTAATTATAGGCTAAAGAGTATATGCGAGTTTCACATTTTAGCCCCGAAGGGGCTGCGATAACAAGCTTTTCTCACTGCATACCTGAGACGTATACCAAGATGTACACTATTTTTCTATACAGATAGCGGTATGCAGATGGGCCAAATAGAAAAACGACACGCCTACTATAAGAGGCTCCAGCCATGTATAAGTATTGGAAAACTCTATTGTTTTAGTATTGGTTCAGACGAAAACAGCGAGAAACGTACTGAATTTTGCAGTATTTTGCGTTTTTTCCTCATTCAAAAGCAATCGGAATCACAATTATCTAGCCAAAACTCTACTCTAAATCGACGAGAATGGTTGATTCAGTTCTCTGTCAAACAGCAAGACTCATCAATGAACGAACATATGTCAACATAATTTTGCATGATTATTGTCGGTGTCAATCGAGTGGAAATGGCGGCAAGTTTTTCAGACTGTTTGGCGATTCAAAAAAAAAATAAGGATATGAAAACAATATTTCAAAATTTGGGAAAGTTGACACCGGAGCAAAAACAACATTCTCATCTCGTTCGTAGTGAAGATGGACGTTTCAATGATAAAGATCTAGCTAAAGCATCGATTAACAGTTGTAAAAATGTCTCTAGCGCTTTCGGAGATCTGAACACTCCTGCCGTTTTTCAAAATATTGAAATCAGTGGTATTTTACATGCACGAAGTATGGGTATCTGTACAATAAATCATCGAAAACTAAAAAAGTATCAATCATTCAAGGAATTACATTCTGAATTGGCAAACAAATTGGCAAAACTCTAGAAAACAACACGACGTAGTATTGCAATTGAAAACGAACAAGTAACCATATTCTTTTCTCTTCTCTTGTGTGAGTACAGGGATTGTGACTTTCGATTATCAACGCAAGCGATCACCAGCTGTGAGATGAATCGCTTCACTAAAACGCAGCTCGATGGATGAAAATAACATTGTAAGAGACTTTGGATTGCTGCCGACCTAGAGTTTCTATCAGTGAATAGTAAGAATTTATTTCTTATTGATCATAAAACACTAAACAGCGCATTTCAATGCTTTTTTGTTCGAGATCTGTTGGCGGCATATGTTTGTTGATAAAACCGGTGTGAGCGGCAAATCGAGCAACATCAGGGTTGCTATCGAAGATTTTAAAAAGAAACATTTCGTCCGATCGCATCTGGCTCAGATAGTACCATCTTTGGGCATCTTGGATGCTGTGTGAGATCTGATAGCCCGAGAAACCATTTACAGATCCCCGAATCTCTGCCACATGAATATCGTTGTCGAGATCTAAGGAACGATAGTCGCAAATAATCAAAGGAATGTTCATTATGGGATTGGGGCCCAATGGTCGCCAGACATTGATCATTTGAAAGCGATTCTGCATCACTTTTTTAGCCTCTTCTTCACCAAACAGTTGTTCCACTTTCCAACGAACTCCGGGCGGATCACTGTCCACGTGCGGTTCGAGAGCAGGATTCTTGTGGGTCCGGTCACACTGATCGGCTGTAGATGGCGGCCATCGGAAACGGAATATATGGTTGAAAGCGATTACGCAGGAGGCGCCCAGATGCGTTTTGAGCTGAGCAGCAATGTCTTCATAGTAAGACCGCTGTGTCTCGCTGTTGTCGTCGAATGCATCGTGTATGTGACCGTCATATTTGAGCACTTCAAAGCCGTTGGTGTCGAGATCGACGCTATTCTCTTTGCCTCGCAAATCGTGAATGGTAACGCAAGTGGACTTTCGTACAAAATTCGTAGCTGCAAAGCCCA